CGAAGCCTAGGTGCGCCCTCTCCTTACAGGGCTGAACGCGGCGCACTATGAAACTCGCCGCTACTAACCCTCCATTGGTCCTCATGCCTTTTATTAAGCCGAGGAGCTCCTTTACTTGCTCCATGTTGTCGTTGCTTGGAAGCTCTGACCAACTCTTCTGGCTTTCTGGGATGTGGTCGGCGTCACAACGGACTGCTGGGTGGCTCTGTTTCATGTAGAACCACCTGGCATTCCACCCTTTCACCGATGTGTTCAGTGGCACAGTAAGATACTCGCTCGCCATCCCATCACGCAGTTGAAGGTATACGCCGCCGACCACCTTGGAACCAGCGCCGCCTCTTTTCTTCAACCAGAATAGGTGACGGAAGAGATTGAAGTGGGAGAGGATTCCGAGGTATGCCTCACAGAAATGGATGAAGATGGAGATGTGCAAAATGGTATTGGGGTGGAGGTTGCACAGACTAACCACCTAGAGCTCCAACAGATCCCTCAAAAATGGATGAACAGGAAATCCCAACCCGCGCCAGAAATAATCCTCGAATACCATTGCCTCATCAGTATGAGGTGTTGGGAAGGACTCACTGAGGGCCGGCCGCCATCCGGCAGTGGCATGGTCAGGAAGAACGCCGACTTCCACCAATCTTCAGCTTCGCCTCTCCTGTTCACGACAGCACCCACTCTTCATCGCGTTGGGCTACGACGCTCGCCTTCTTGGGACTAGCCTTCTTCGGTTTCGCGGCTCCTCTTTTCGGCGCCATCTCCCAGATCTGGTTAGGGTTTGGCGGCGGAGGCGAATGGGGTTGCGGATTCAGGGATGCGAGGTATGAGGAGGGAGATGAAGTGGCAAAGGTGGGAACTGGGTATGCGGCGGCACAGTTATAAAGCACTTTCCCCACCTTCCTGCATTCAAGGGTTTTTGGGAAACCGTTCCCGCGATCTGCGCCGCTCCGAGTTCTCTTACGCGGTACATGGGCCGTTACATGGGCTTTTGCGCAACCGCAGCCCATGTCGCTCATTTATCACTGCCGTCAATTGCTACTCGCCGAATAATCGACGATTTCTCCGCCATTTACTAAGGCTCAGCAACTGTTGCTGTACATCCGTTACTCCGGTTTTTCCTCCACGGTGTGATTTCTCCGGTATCTTCGCTTGTAGTTAGGGAACTGGCTACCTGCTTGGCTGATTTTTCGTTACATCTCTGTTTCTGACCCTGGCACCAAATAACTTCGTCATCTATTGTCAGGCTCGGGGACTAAGTGGGCACACTTTACCTTGCGGTAAATGTGCTTTAATTTGTTTACGGGCTACGCCCGGGGACTGGCTGCCTGCTCGGCTGGTTTTCTGCTTTAGACACTGGCACCACATGACTACGTCATCTGCTGTCAGGCTCGAGGACTAAGTGGGCACACTTCACCTCGCGGTGAATGTGCTTGTTTTTTCTAGAAGACTCCGTGCTTTTTGAAGCTAAAGAAGGTTATCTCCTTTCCCCGTGGTCAGATTCTAAGTGGGCACACTTGGGCCACTACAAAGAAAATTTTCAATTATGGACTTGAGCTCCTTACACCCCTATGGCAAGCCGTGCTTGGGACATGCTGCTCGGCGATGATCCATGCTGCTCGACGATGATTACACGCTGCTCGGCAACTGCTCACAACTGTTCGGCGACTCATCACGGTGGTCGGACAATGAGTTGGACTACTCGGCTTTGGTGCGTACCTGCTCGGACAAGTTCAAGACGGCGTTGCACAACGGGTACAAGGCGCCTGGGGACTAGCTGTGGGGGGTACGACCCCGGATACCCACGGCAGACCACATGGGCTGCGCCCCCAGGGGCGGCCCAGTCCACAAGATGAAGTCTTGCGGGGCACGATTCTGCTCGGCGCCTCTCGCAAGACATAAGGAAGATATCCTGAAGATACTACGAGATCTGTTAGGATACGTACGATCCCATGATTCTTATAATCTGTTATTACTTTTCGGTTATCTCTGAGATTTAACCGACTTGTAACCCTGCCCCTCGGACTATATAAGGCGGGCAGGGACCCCCTCCAAAATCACGGCATATCATACGATAGCTAATATAAACCAACATACCACATGAGTAGGGTATTACGTCATACTGACGGCCTGAACTTGTCTAACTCGTGTGTCTCTGTTGCCTTCTTATTCTTGATCTCGCGCTCCTATACCGATCAATTTACCTTCGTGGGATACCCCTCGGAGGACTGCCGACGATATTGTGTCGACAGACCGAGAAATGCAGGCAACAATCATGGATGGTGGAGCCGTGGAGGACTGCTGCATACACTTGTGAGCTGTGAGTTGTGTTTGTGTACATGAAGATGTTACTGTTCCATGTCTAATGTGCCAATGGAAATGGGTTCAGCATTGCAGGTTCCCTTTTTAAAAAAATTTGCAGGTTCCCGGCGTTCTGCTGAGATCAGAAATTACCTTTTCTCGTGCTTAGTCTTGGAACTACGGGTGGTCTGTGCTGGATCTAAACGGGAAAAAGTGGGGACGAGGTCCTCGTCACCGTGGAACCCGTGACCTGTAGGCTTCTCTCTTGCGAGTTCGTTAGTGTCAAGAGAATTGTGCTAGTAGTATTAGCGTCCGACGTTCTGGAAACGGAAAATTCGTTCCACATGTTTGGTCCATACGGGACGAGCACGAGTGATGGAGACACCACACTTCCTTTGTGCTACTGCGCATCATCATCACATCACCAGCACCGTGCCATTGGACTGCAGCTCTCGGAGATGACTTCGCGACACGGCTGTCGTTCTCGGCAACGCAATGGGCTAGCGTTGACTGACTTTTCGGTCTTCCATGGGCAAAGAATTTTCCATCCCCATACACACACAAAAAAAAATCTTCAGCTATCCTATACTACGATCCAAAGTTGACAGCGCTAGGATGTGATGCCTAGATTTCGGCCATTATTGTCTCGCCAGAATTCACTGAACACGCCTTCCAAAGAATTTACCGAACACATACTTGTCATAATCGTGGTGTTAATTCATGCGTACCCGCTGGTCGCCGTCGTCGTTAGAGCCGGCGTGCAGCTAACGACCAGAGTGCGTAGACCGGCCGCGGGCGCCGGGCGGTCAAACATTTTGACCGGTTCCAGTATGCATGGCCCACCACAGTAGAAGAAGAGGAGCACACGCACGACTACCACACGTTTGAACTGTACCCAAACACGGCACGAACACACCTTTTTTTTTTCTCCTCGATAAAAAAAACATCTCAACCCCGACCCTGAGTTGGCGGCGTTGCACTGGCTGGCGCGCTGGGAACGACAGCCGGGCAGGTGGGCCCAGGCCGGCGCTGGCTTTTCTGCCCCCGCGCGGGGTGTAGACCCGGCCCACGGACGACGGGACGGGGTTTATCTCCCTGTCACGGGTCCAGCTGGCCTTGTGCGGAGGCGGGCCCACGGCGCAGTGATCCACGGTCTCCTTTGTGCTGCTGGCTGCATTCCCTCCCTCTTCACATCTCTCGGGATCCGGACCTTAACTAAGGCCCGTTTGTTCCAAGCCCAAAATTTTCGAGATTAAAATTTTCAAGATTCTGGCGTGTATCAAATCTCATAAGATACGATAGAGAGATTAAAAAAAAAAAAATTCATAGTTTAGCCGAGAAATCGTGAGACGAATCTTTTAAGCCTAAATAGTCCATAATTGGACAATTTTTGCCAAATAAAAATAAAAATGCTATAGTAGCCAAAAGCCAAAAAAAAAATTTCGGAACTAAACGGGGCCTAACCTTTGCCGCGAAACCTGCTGTACTGTAGCGACACACGCTGCCGCTGCCACCTGCTGGTGTACGGTACACATCAGTCGCCGGTTTCGGCCTTTGGCTTTTAAGCTAATACTACTATCTCACTTAACATGTTGTACTGTAACGAAGCATTAGGTTAGCCCAATGATTCTCAATCAATATAGGAAACGGGGACCTTTGCTTTTTTTTTCCTCATCAACCTAGGCCTTATTTAGTTGGTGATTTTTTTTAGAAAATAGTATTATAGCACTTTCGTTGTTATTTGATAATTAGTATCCAATCATAATCTAATTAGGCTTAAAAGATTCGTTTTGTGAATTTCGTCTAAACTGTATAATTAGTTTTATTTTTTATTTATATTTAATGCTTCATACATACGTCCAAAGATTCGATTTTATGAGAAATTTTGAAAAACTTTGTAAAATTTTGGGAACTAAACGGGCACCTATAAATCCAATCACGAGCAGAGGACGGGTCGTGAGCCGGGGTGTCCGTTCCACGGACGGATCAAGCAAACGTGATGATTTTCCGAATCGATGCACGCGCGTGCAGTGGCAGTTGCAGTGGGAGCTGTACGAAGCGACACCATCGCTCGGATGGTTTATGGAGTAATAAGTCTTCCCTGGCTGAAATCAACGAGCTAACCGGCCGAACGACGAGACCGGCGTACCGAGGACCGTGTCCACGAGATCCCCCGCCCGCGGCGGGGCCCGCACCTCTACTAGCTCCATCAAGTCACCCCACCCCACCACTCCCCGGAAAGCACGCCGCCCGCGCCTTCCCGCCGCGCAGCCCTCTCGCTTCCACGCGGGCCCCGGGGGCTCCCTGGTCCCGAACGTCGGTGACGTCGGGTGGGAGTCGCCGCGGTGGGGCGTCCCTTTGTTCCGCGAGCGTAGGCCTCCCACCGCGGAGTAGAAGAACAATTTAGGTCGGGACATACACACGCGCACACACAGCTGCACTCCGTTTCCAGCTACAGAGAGAATTCGTCCCCGAAAAGAAAAAGAAAAAAAAACTCCCTTCCATTTCAGAGAGAGAGGGAGAGAGGGGAGGAGGAGGAGCACGCCGTGAGCTCAGGAGGGAGAGGGAGAGAGAGCCCGGCGGCGGCGCGGCAGATCGGGCAGCGCCGTGCAGCTCGGGCCTTAGGCGCACCGGTCGGCGGGGGGACCCGCGCGCCCATGCGTCGGTGAGGTGGTGGGGGCCCGCTTGGCGCTCGAGTTGGAATGGCGGCGGCGGCGGAGGCGGGGAGGTGGTGGGCGGTGGTCCTTGCGGTGGCGGTGCTGCTCGGGCCGGGACGGGTCGTCGCCAACACCGAGGGTGAGTCCTGCCTGATCTCATACATACTAGTAAGCCGTGCGCTGCCCCGGTTTGATTCGTCCCAAGTTTGAAATCTGTACAGCTGGGATGGAGCATATGAGCTTGATTCTTTTACTGGTTTCATTGATGCTCGTAGGTATTGCCTGCTCTCTACTTCTTGCTTCCGTTCGTGGTGATGTATTTGGCGGATATTTGAAGTTTATGCATAGAGCATACGTTTAGTTATAGCTCTGCTTTGATGGATCAGAGGAATGAACAAGCCACGTTCAGTTGATTTCGAGGAAAACGTAAACTTTTTGTTCGCTGTAGTTCTTTCGTTATGCCATATACTTTTCTCGTTTGGGCGTTCAGCCCATCGTTAAGTCTACTTCCAATAGCGAGGCAGCGAGAGACCACCAACCTTAGCCTAGTTCGTTTGTATAAAAGGAGGAATTCTGCTAATATCGTCCTCCAAAATTAAGGAGTTCATTTGGATTCCTAATGTTGACTTTTAAGTGAGATTGTTTGACCGGTTCTTTAAGCTGGTGACAAAAAAAAACTTTTTGCTATTTCTACGGCTGGGATGTTATTGAACATCTCTCTCTCTCTCTCCCTCTCTCTCCACAAATGGTAATTGAACAGTATAGTTTGATAGGATGTGTCCCCTGGTCTACCATGAATAGAAGAACATCAAACACTGTAGTACTAACAATGGATGGGGCCAGCTGTAATAACTACTAATCTCTGTGCTTTGGAACTTCCTGACTTACATGGTTTCTTACCTTACCTGTTTTGGAAATTTCAATCTTTTTGCCTAGGCAGCCTATTTTTTTTTTCTAAATATTTTGCATACAAGCTCGTCACGGATAAAATTTCTTATATGTTTTTTCATCTTAACTGGGAATATACTTGCTGCTGATAATGCTACCTTTCGTCCACAGGTGATGCTCTGTACAGCCTGCGGCAGAGCTTGAAAGATACTAACAATGTCTTGCAGAGTTGGGATCCCACTCTTGTTAATCCATGTACATGGTTCCATGTTACGTGTAACAATGATAACAGTGTTATCAGAGTGTAAGTTGATGAAAAAGCTCTCATATATTCATTTCAAAGTGTTAGTGATGTTCACCTCTGGTCTAAATGTCCTCCCTTTCACAGTGACCTTGGAAATGCACAATTATCTGGTGTCCTAGTGCCACAACTTGGTCAGCTGAAAAATCTCCAATATTTGTAAGTTCTGCCTGTGTTGGTTTTGCCAACAGTTTCAAGATGTGGATTTTCTATCTTGTATGTGCCGTCAAAATAATTATTTTAAGAAAAGTGCTCCAGTAATCCCTTCTCAAAAATAAGAACTGACCCTAAAGCACCCTGAATTGATCGGTTTATTTTGAATTACCTCATGAACCTGGCCCAGCCCATCGCAATCCAATTCTTCACGTTCTCTTAGTTGTGGGGCACGATGGCTTGATCTGTGGATCAGACATGGCTGATAACCATGGAGATTTAATTTGGGACTGGAGCACTGAAAGTTTGTTGGCCTGGGAGGACAGTTTGTCGGACACCACCAGCAGATGATGCTCTATGGCGGACAAAATGCATACTTCTGTTCACCTTTTGCCTATATGGATTTCTTTCGTAGACTTGCTTTTACTTGGCCACTCAGTGCTCATTTGAGGTTGTGCTTCCAAGACTATTAGCTTATTGCAATCTGTGTCAGTGAGTCAGTGACATTAGGATGTGTGCACTAGAAACTCTGCCACCTGCATACCTCTGCACTTGCCAAAGAAAACTGAACATTTTTTTTGGGGGGTGGGGGTTGGGGAGTTGGGGACGGCCACAATGGGTAAGGGAGGCTGCCTTGGAGGTATCATTTAATTTACTTAGGTGCTTCAGGATCCGTGCTAATTTTTGAGGAGTACTGGAGTACTTCTCTTGTTTTAAATGTGAATTAGAGGTACGCTGTTTCAAAAACAAATTATCCATTTAGAAATTAGCGGATCTTAAAAAAAGTCTTAACCTTTACATTTTATGCGTAACTCTGTTTGTTAATTGTTGTATACATTTCTTCATTTTGTAATTGTGTCCTTTTACATTTGAGAATTTATTTATATTACTTTTTTTTGTAATAGGGAGCTTTACAGCAACAACATAAGTGGGACAATACCCCCTGAACTTGGGAACTTGACTAACCTGGTCAGTTTGGATCTGTATATGAACATCTTCTCTGGCTATATCCCTGACAGCCTGGGGAATCTATTGAAGCTGCGTTTCCTGTAAGACTCATTTTGTTTACCAATTACTAGCACCCTCTTATGTTGTTTTACTTGCTGAAGTTTGATGTTTAGACACTTTTCAGTTTTTTTTTTTAATTTCTGGATGTTTTATATAGACTTTTGATCTCTTTGTCAAGAATGGCCTATGTATTTTGTAACCTGAAAAACAAGAGTAACTTGTGATGCTGCATTTTCTAATTTCTGTGACATGTTGGTATTTGATTAACTTTGTTGTTTTCCTATTTGATAGATGGACTTGTGTGTTTGCTTCTCCTCCTTTCTCCTACTCTTCCCATGCTTATTCTATATTATGGCAGTTGTATCGTTGAATTGTATTTTATCAGCACAACTCATGCTGTCTTTGGAAAAAAAAATCATTAATATTTTATCTTTATTAGTGTCTTCTGTGCTCTTATATTTTGGTAAAGTCACAAATATTTATTTGTTCTGTGCCTATGTGCAAGGATAGACGTCTTAACAACAACAGCTTGGTTGGTCAAATTCCTGTATCCTTGACCAATATCTCCACTCTCCAAGTACTGTAAGTAGCATGCACACTACTATTGTTCTCTTGATGTTTGTTATGTGTTGAATGAATATATAATATAATTATCATGAAAATGCAGGGATCTCTCGAACAACAACCTCTCAGGACAAGTCCCATCAACAGGCTCCTTTTCACTCTTCACCCCTATTAGGTCTTTTATCTGGATGATTCACTGATCCTTAGCCTACACTGTATCTTCAGCGTGCATGATAAATATAACCTGTTTGTTACAGTTTTGCCAACAATCCAAATCTTTGCGGCCCTGCTACTACGAAGCCCTGCCCTGGGGCTCCTCCCTTTTCCCCGCCTCCTCCATTCAATTCTCCATCTCCCCCAACCCAATCAACTGGTAGGTTTTTTAATTTACTTGTATTCTCATTAGTACAATGAAACTTTAGCATTCTGGATGACACTTAATTCCTGGATTTATGTCTACCATTAGGTGCCTCTAGCACTGGAGCAATCGCTGGAGGTGTTGCTGCTGGTGCAGCATTGGTGTTTGCTGTTCCTGCAATTGCATTTGCAATGTGGCGCCGTCGTAAACCTGAAGAGCATTTCTTCGATGTTCCTGGTCTGTATCATATGGTGTACTTTTTTTGTTAACCTGTATTGCCTGTTTGTTCATCTGCTGGCCCATTTTGCTTGCTTCAGCTGAGGAGGATCCAGAAGTCCATCTTGGTCAGCTCAAAAAGTTTTCGTTGCGGGAGCTTCAAGTTGCAACTGATAATTTCAGTAACAAGAACATTTTAGGAAGAGGTGGTTTTGGAAAAGTGTACAAGGGAAGGCTTGCTGATGGCTCTTTGGTAGCAGTGAAAAGACTAAAAGAGGAGCGGACACCTGGTGGTGAGCTTCAGTTCCAAACAGAGGTTGAGATGATTAGCATGGCAGTGCACAGGAACCTTCTCAGACTTCGTGGTTTCTGCATGACACCTACTGAACGGTTGCTAGTCTACCCATACATGGCTAATGGGAGTGTGGCATCACGTTTACGAGGTACTTTGTTCTTTTTTCTAAATACTGATTCCATAGCCCCAACTAAACATGCAGAATATTAGCTTCCTGTTCTCATTAGTCTTTCTGATTCCATAGAGCGCCAGACATCTGAGCCACCTCTTGAGTGGGAAAAAAGAAGACGGATTGCACTTGGATCTGCAAGAGGACTTTCTTACTTGCATGATCACTGCGATCCCAAAATTATCCATCGGGATGTCAAAGCTGCAAATATTCTTTTGGATGAGGACTTCGAGGCAGTCGTGGGTGATTTCGGGCTTGCCAAGCTTATGGATTACAAGGATACCCATGTCACAACTGCTGTTCGTGGAACAATTGGACACATTGCTCCCGAGTACCTATCCACTGGCAAGTCCTCTGAAAAGACTGATGTTTTTGGCTATGGGATCATGCTTCTGGAGCTTATTACTGGCCAGAGGGCATTTGATCTTGCTCGTCTTGCAAATGATGACGATGTTATGCTTCTTGACTGGGTAAGTAACTTTTCTTCTCAATAGTCAGTGTGTCATACAGTATTACTGCACTACAGATTATACATTTTTCTTTCGCAAACTCTATCTGACGACGGGTCACCCTCGACCCGCGCCCACGCTCTCCTTCTCTTCTTCTCCATCTCCGGCGGTCTTAGAAAGGGGTTAGGGGAGGCAGGTGGGCCCAGCGGTGGGGACGGGAGAGACGGCGGCAAGGCGGAGGCGGCGGTGACGCTGCTGGAGCGGGCAGTGGAGGAGGCGGCCAGGCAGGGTTGGGGCGGGGGCGGCCATTGTCATGGCTGCGGCGGGGGGAGGGGAAGAAGGAGGCTGCCGCGGACGCGGTAAGGTCTCGCTGGAGCTCCACGGCGCGCGATAGGAGGCGGCGGCGGTCGGCGGCCTTTTTCTTTCGTACTGTTTTGCTGTCTATGGGCTATATTTTATTAGTTTCTTAAAGATTGGTGTCAAAGCTAACTCTGTAATCATGAAGTGCCCTTAATCCATTTCTTAATTAGAGAGCGTGCACTGGCAAGTGACAAGCTGGGCAGTTCACCCTCCAGGGGACACATCCATCATGCCTACAATATGCTAATGCACAATCAGTCGCCCTGCCATATGCCTGCTGCATTATAAAAACATGTTCAACTATCAGAACAATGGAACGAATGGATTGTTCATGACAGAAACAAGCTGGCATAAATGAATAATTCACAATTGGCATCTTGCAGGTGAAAGGACTGCTGAAGGAGAAGAAGGTGGAGATGCTGGTGGACCCAGATCTGCAGAACGCCTACGAGGAGATCGAGGTGGAGAACCTGATCCAGGTGGCACTCCTCTGCACGCAGGGCTCCCCGTTGGACCGGCCAAAGATGTCGGAGGTGGTGAGGATGCTCGAAGGTGACGGCCTGGCAGAGCGTTGGGACGAGTGGCAGAAAGTGGAGGTGGTGAGGCAGGAGGCTGAGTCCGCACCGCTCCGCAATGACTGGATCGTCGATTCCACGTACAACCTTCGTGCCGTGGAGCTGTCCGGCCCAAGGTAGCCACTCAACGACTCCGATGAAAGAATTCAACACTGAATTGCCAAGACAGTCTAATTACTGTTTGTGTATATGAAAGGTAGCTTTTGGGGGGGGCGTAGGCATCCGAGGGTGAATTTCTAAAGCATTGTTGTAGTGGTCCGGGGAACGTAGCAGCTATTGTACAATTGTACTGAGTGATATCCAGAACTGTGTTATGTTTTTGCATCTTGAAAAAAATATGTTTAGGTTTTCTTTGTGTAATAAAACTACAACAGTACAATGGATAATCTTTGAATCAACGATACACAACTAAATGTGAGGCTAATATGTACTAGGTGTTTGGCTTTCGTGTCAGACTCGCACCATTTACAGCAGCCCAGGATGGAAAGCGAAATGAGGTGTTTCCTGTCTACGGGATTCTATTTTTAGCGAAAATAGAGATCCGTGTTTATAAAATATACGTGATAACTTTAAAAGTTATCATTATAGCAGCCTTTGAAGTTTGAACATTGTGTCTTTACGACAAATATTATTAGTTAAATAATTTAGAAAGTCATCCTAAGGGTAAGGGGTATATGCCCGTGAGGCACTTCAGCAAGGCTCCTAATAACATGTCAAATAGACGAATAAGCAAACTAAGCCATGTCATGATCTTTAGCATAAAGTTTTCATTATTCCATATCCGCCCACGCCGACTAGTCCCGTATACCAAGATCGGAAGGCATGACGATTCTACGCAGAGGATGTGGTGTAACATTACGGTAGCGTCATCTATCGTACACATCCATCGTTAACTTACGGCACCGCATCTACTCGAGACAAAAATAAAACCACCAAATCAATCATTTAACCCTGAATCATCATTTGAAAGAAAATCCTGTACGTATCTGCTACACCATGGAAGCAAAAAAATACATGTAGAATGTCTATTATACACTATGTACATCTTTATATGTTATTATCGGATCTACAAACAGCTATCATACACAAGGGGGGGGGGCGTGCCTATGCTAAAATGCGCTGGGGGTAAAATTGTGCAAAAGAAGGAAAAAAAGGCAACGTGGCGACAACACACAGCGCTGAAAAGTTTTTTTTGGGGGGGGGCGTCCAGAACTGTGTTATGTTTTGCCATAGCTTAGTATGCCTTTTTGCATCTTGAAAAAATATGTTTAGGTTTTCTTTGTGTAATAAAACTACAATAGTACAATGGATAATCGTTGAATCGATGATACACATCTAAATGTGATGCTAATATGCACTAGGTGTTTGGCTTACGTGTCAGACTCGCACCATTTACAGCAGTCCAGGATGGAAAGCGAAATGAGGTGTTTCCTGTCTACGGGATTCTATTTTAGCGTAAAATAGAGATCCGTGTTTATAAATATACTGGGATAACTTTAAAAGTTATCATTATAGCAGGCTTTGAAGTTTGAACATTGTGTCTTTACGACAAATATTATTAGTTAAATAATTTAGAAAGTCATCCTAAGGCTAATGGGCATATGCCCCAGAGGCACTTCAGCAAGGCTCCTAATAACTTGTCAAATAGACGAATAGGCAAACTAAGCCATGTCGTGATCTTAAGCATAAAGTTTTCATTATTCCCAGATCCATGCAGCGACTAGTCCCCGCGCTGAAGATCGGAAGGCGTGACGATTTACGTTGAGGATGTGGTGTAACATTACGGTAGCGTCATCTATCGTGCCACATCCATCGTTAACTTACGGCACCGCATCTACTCGAGACAAAAATAAAACCACCAAATCAATCATTTAACCCTGAATCATCATTTGAAAGAAAATCCTCAGACGATCTCGCTACACCATGGAAGCAAAAAATACATGTAGAATGTCTATTATACACTATGTACATCTTTATATGTTATTATCGCATCTACAAACAGCTATCATACACCGGGGGGCCGTGCCTATGCTAAAATGCGCTGGGGTAAAATTGTGCAAAAGAAGGGAAAAAGGCAACGTGGCGACAACACAATGGTATTTGAAAAGTTTGGGGGGTGGGGGGTTAGTCATCCGAGGGTGAACTTCTAAAGCATTGTTGTAGTGGTCCGGGGAATGTAGCAGCTATTGTCCAATTGTACTAAGTGATATCCAGAACTGTGTTATGTTTTGCCATAGCTTAGTATGCCTTTTTGCATCTTGAAAAAATATGTTTAGGTTTTCTTTGTGTAATAAAACTACAATAGTACAATGGATAATCGTTGAATCGACGATACACAACTAAATGTGAGGCTAATATGTACTAGGTGTTTGGCTTACGTGTCAGACTCGCACCATTTACAGCAGTCTAGGATGGAGAGCGAAATGAGGTGTTTCCTCTCTACAGGATTCTATTTTTAGCAAAAATAGAGATTCGTGTTTATAAAGTATACGGGATAACTTTAAAAGTTATCATTATAGCAGCCTTTGAAGTTTGAACATTGTGTCTTTACGACAAATATTATTAGTTAAATAATTTAGAAAGTCATCCTAAGGGTAAGGGGTATATGCCGATGAGGCACTTCAGCAAGGCTCCTAATAACTTGTCAAATAGACGAATAGGCAAACTAAGCCATGTCATGATCTTTAGCATAAAGTTTTCATTATTCCCCGTATCCCCCACGCCGACTAGTCCCGGCTATTGAAGATCGGAAGGCGTGACGATTTACGTACCGAGGATGTGGTGTAACATTACGACGCGTCATCTATCGTGCCACATCCATCGTTAACTTACGGCACCGCATCTACTCGAGACAAAAATAAAACCACCAAATCAATCATTTAACCCTGAATCATCATTTGAAAGAAAAATCATGACGATTCGCTACACCATGGAAGCAAAAAAATACATGTAGAATGTCTATTATACACTATGTACATCTTTATCTATTATTATCGCATCTACATACAGCTATCATACACCGGGGGCCGTGCCTATGCTAAAATGCATACTGGGGTAAAATTGTGCAAAAGAAGGAAAAAAAAAGGCAATGTGTGGCGACAACACACACGGTACTGGAAAGTTTAAGTTTTTAGTCATCCGAGGGTGAACTTCTAAAGCATTGTTGTAGTGGTCCGGGAATGTAGCAGCTATTGTCCAATTGTACTAAGTGATATCCAGAACTGTGTTATGTTTTGCCATAGCTTAGTATGCCTTTTTGCATCTTGAAAAAATATGTTTAGGTTTTCTTTGTGTAATAAAACTACAATAGTACAATGGATAATCGTTGAATCGACGATACACAACTAAATGTGAGGCTAATATGTACTAGGTGTTTGGCTTACGTGTCAGACTCGCACCATTTACAACAGTTCAGGATGGAAAGTTAAATGAGGTGTTTCTGTCTCACGGGATTCTATTTTTAGCGAAAATAGAGATCCGTGTTTATAAAATATCTGGGATAACTTTAAAAGTTATCATTATAGCAGCCTTTGAAGTTTGAACATTGTGTCTTTACGACAAATATTATTAGTTAAATAATTTAGAAAGTCATCCTAAGGGTAAGGGGTATATGCCCGTGAGGCACTTCAGCAAGGCTCCTAATAACATGTCAAATAGACGAATAGGCAAACTAAGCCATGTCATGATCTTTAGCATAAAGTTTTCATTATTCCCATATCCACCGCCGACTAGTCCCGGCGCTATTTGAAGATCGGAAGGCGTGACGATTTACGCCGAGGATGTGGTGTAACATTACACGCACGCCATCTATCGTGCCACATCCATCGTTAACTTACGGCACCGCATCTACTCGAGACAAAAATAAAACCACCAAATCAATCATTTAACCCTGAATCATCATTTGAAAGAAAATCATGTACGTATCTGCTACACCATGGAAGCAAAAAAATACATGTAGAATGTCTATTGTACACTATGTACATCTTTATCTATTATTATCGCATCTACATACAACTATCATACACCAGGGGGCCGTGCCTATGCTAAATTGCGCTGGGGTAAAATTGTGCAAAAAAGGAAAAAAAAGGCAACGTGGCGACAACAGGGGTGGGGGTTAGTCATCCGAATGTGAATTTCTAAAGCATTGTTGTGGTGGTCCGGGGAATGTAGCAGCTATTGTCCAATTGTACTAGGTGATATCCAGAACTGTGTTATGTTTTGCCATAGCTTAGTATGCCTTTTTGCATCTTGAAAAAATATGTTTAGGTTTTCTTTGTGTAATAAAACTACAATAGTACAATGGATAATCATTGAATCGATGATACACAACTAAATGTGAGGCTAAATATGTACTAGGTGTTTGGCTTACGTGTCAGACTCGCACCATTTACAGCAGTCCGGGATGGAAAGCGAAATGAGGTGTTTTTCTCTCACGGATTCTATTTTTAGCGTAAAATAGAGATCCGTGTTTATAAAATATACGGGATAACTTTAAAAGTTATCATTATAGCAGCCTTTGAAGTTTGAACATTGTGTCTTTACGACAAATATTATTAGTTAAATAATTTAGAAAGTCATCCTAAGGGTAAGGGGTATATGCCGATGAGGCACTTCAGCAAGGCTCCTAATAACTTGTCAAATAGACGAATAGGCAAACTAAGCCATGTCATGATCTTTAGCATAAAGTTTTCATTATTCCCGTATCCGCCCACGCCGACTAGTCCCGGCGTGAAGATCGGAAGGCGTGACGATTTACGTTGAGGATGTGGTGTAACATTACTGGCTGGCGTCATCTATCGTACACATCCATCGTTAACTTACGGCACCGCATCTACTCGAGACAAAAATAAAACCACCAAATCAATCATTTAACCTCGAATCATCATTTGAAAGAAAATCTCAGACGATCGCTACACCATGGAAGCAAAAAATACATGTAGAATGTCTATTATACACTATGTACATCTTTATCTATTATTATCGCATCTACATACAGCTATCATACACCGGGGGTCGTGCCTATGCTAAATTGCTACTGGGGTAAAATTGTGCAAAAGAAGGGGAAAAAAAGGCAACGTGACGACAAAAACGGCGCTGGAAAGTTTAAAGGGGGGGGGGGT